GTAACACGGTCACGTGGTGGCGTTACTTCAACTGAGATCCGTACAATGTTCAACCGAGATCCGCAGAATGTTCCATGGCCGATCTGCAGTGGCTTGCTTTCCCACTGTTGAAAAACAATGCGTCTTCATCACCAACCACACAGTGCAATCCCAGGAAAAGCTATCTACTCTCTGACTGATATGTCTTTAACAAATCCAGGTATTGTCCCTACTCCACACCAAGGATTGTCTACTTAATGTAGATAAACAGAAGCTGTGATGAAAGACCAAGAAATGAAGGATGGTAAGTTTTATGTACTCTTGTCGGCTGAGCAGTTCTAACCATATCTTAGGAACGGCCGAGGCTCTACCCCCTCTTCAACCAAGTGGTGAGTTCCAGTCAGTGACAGAAAACTAGCCAAACCTAAATTCTGGGTGGCCGATAGGACAGAGCCAAGAATCCGAACTAGTGATGGAAGTGGACGTCCCATCCTCGGCTCCTCACAGATCCATTTTCGATTTCAAAGAACCTACCCCTGCTCTAAGTTCCAACCCATTCACCCCAGCCTCGGCTCACCAATCCATTTTCGAGTTTAAGAAAGTCGGTACTTCAGCGTTTGCCCCGACCTCGGCTCATCAAGCATCAATGTTCGATTTTCAGCACGTGGGCACTTCAACGAATGTGCCGCCTGTTTCCCCGTCCTCGGCTCATCAGCCATCGATTTTCGATTTCCAGAAGCCTGGCAGATCTCCACCAGCCTCGGCTCGTCAGGCATCGATTTTTGATTTTCAGCAAGTGGGCACTTCAACGAATGTGCCACCTGTTCCCCCGTCCTCGGCTCGTCAGCCATCCATTTTCGATTTCCAAAAGCCTGACATCCCTGCACCAGCCTCGGCTCGTCAGGCATCGATTTTTGATTTTCAGCAAGTGGACACTTCAACGAATGTGCCGCCTGTTCCCCCGTCCTCGGCTCATCAGCCATCCATTTTCGATTTCCAAAAGCCTAACCCTGCACCAGCCTCGGCTAATAAAGGATCCCCTTTCGATTTTCAAGTCCATCGTTCATTTACCCCGGCCTCGGCTGTTCAGCCTTCCATTGATTTTCAAACACCTGGCACGTCTGCTCCAGCTCCTGCCTCTGACAAACCAGGCATGTCTTCCCCTGGCGCCTCAAGGTCCAATAGTACTCTGGGATCACGGAAGTATCTGACGAAATCACAAGAGGCCAAATTACGACTCC